TAAATAAATAAATAAATAAATAAATAAATACATACAAAAAGTTAAATAAAATAATTCTTTTTAAAAAATAAGATTAACATAACATTTTGACTTAAAATGTTCTAATTACTCAGCTAGCACTTTATGAAACATTTTTTCATTTCATCTTTACTTTGAGAGGTGGTATTTTTAATCCTCATTTTATAGTTATAGAAGCTGGCTTCCAAGAGAAAGTAGTCCTATGGCAAGTAAATGGAAGAGCATCTGAACTCTAATGCCTGGTATCTTAAAAACTTCACTACTATGGGATGAGATAAACACATTAACTTCATTCAGAAACATCAACTAAAAACATACTGTGGCAAGGTACTATGCCGAGCACTGACAGAGAAGAGTAGACAAGTCACGGAGACATGGACAACCAAACTTCCATTTACAAGTAAGGGCAGAAGTGCTTTAAGATATTATGGGAACACATGGCACAGATGAAAATTCTTATGTGGGTCAGGAAAGATTTCCTAAGACCTGAAAGATGAGTAAGTATTAACGGTCCGGGCAGCATAGTAAAGAAGTAGACACTTCATGTCAAATGTAAAGCAAGAATAAGTAGGTAGGTCAGAAAGCAGGTAACTTTCAAAGAACTGTCCATCATTCAGTAGACAGAGACATGAGGAAGCTAAAGATGACTAAGAGTCCTATAGCTGTCTGGAGTCTATCAAAGAGCAAAAGGTAAGCCATAGAAAGACTTTAAGGAGAATAATAGGATCATAACTGTACTTCTTACCCCAGTATAAATGGTTCATTATAACTGGTTCCAAATGACTTCAGACTTCTTCCAAACATCAAACTTAATGTAGAATAAATATCTGCTACAATAGAGTACATTCAAAATAATACACCTGAGAATCTTCTAAAATAATCCCCCCCCCCAAAAAAGGTATATATCTTTCCAAGATAAATGTTTTGAAGAGGTAACATTCACTTGAATGTATAAGATCTACTCTGTCTGTAAAATTGGTCACAACACACCTCACACACAATGCTTTTTATTTGATACATTTTGTATATGAGAAGAGTATGTGACTATGGAAAGTAATGTTAAAGATTATCCCCATAGGGTGGCCAAATTAGGAACAGACTTTTAAAATATACAGGTAGTGCTGCTATAATGTTTTCAATTATCTACCTAAGACATTTCTACGTCTCATGCACTTCAGTAATATTAAATAAAAGTACCTTTGAGGGGATCTGTTCATGAAACATTTTGATGTTTATACAAACTTAGCAACTTTCACTAATGACTGTTAAAAACTAATGAAACATCTTGTTTCATAAAATCCTATTTAACTTTCAAATCTAGTTTTTTGCAAGAAAAATAACCTCTCAGTTCCTATGCAAACAGTTATTTGACTGATGGATTAGTCTTTAATGTTAATTTCAAGATCTGGCCTTTACTCCTGAAGCTTCTTAGAACCACTCTGCTCAGAATGAATGACATCCTCTCAAAGAATATATCGTAGTGCTATGGCTTGACTAAAATGCAGTGTATTCATGCTGAGGAAAATCATTTTGTATGTCATAAATATGTACAGTGATTTAATGTAAATTTAAAACATTTAAATTGTCAGATAGATAAGATAGAACAGTAACTGCAACTGATTGGTGGAATTCTCCTAGGTACACACTCATCCTAATAATAAAACAGAAACAACTTCCGCAGTATTATTAAGGGACTATCTTCACTAATGTGACTAAATTGAATTTTTGATGGGAGAAAAATTTTCATCTACTGTAATGATGCTTAGACTTTCCAACTTATATGAGTATGTAGAATGGAACCAGCACTGGAAAGTCTGATTCTGGTACTCTGATTAAACCCTTTTCTACTTAGCCCAACCTACCCTATTTAGATTCCACAGAAAATAGAAAAAGAGCAGGCAACAGTGACCTCTATCCTACATTTGACTTTACAAACCTGGCAAAAGAATACTCTACATCTGTGTTGTGTACACAGTGGCCCAGCTGAAAGGAGCTGAGAGGCTGTTTTCTCCTAGAGGCTGTGTGGGTCACACACAAGTCACTGAATGGTGGGCCTCAATAGCAGAATTTAAAAACATGGGAAATCAGGGCCAGCAACCGGTGTAGTGGTTAAGGCACTGGACTCTCACACAGTCAACTGCGGTTTGAGTATCAGAAACGTCGGCTTGAAATTCATGCCAGGTCAACGTGCGTGCACGCCCAAAATCCCAAGAGGAAAATGAAGGAAAAGGGATTACGACATGGCCATCCCCTTGGGGGAGGGGGGTGATTTCTTGCCTTCTGTTTCTTTGTCTCTCTCTGTCTTTCTGGTAAGCACATGCACCCTATAGCAAAAATCACTCTACAATAAAAAAGAAATCTACCTGAGAAATCAGTGTGGTAAACCATGTACCTTCCAATAAACATTAGTGAGTAAACAAACTATTTTCAGAAATCAGCAAATACAGATGCAGAGGCACCTGAAAGAGAAACTGAGTCCTCATGTCAATGAGACTGGATTATAACCAATGAAAATACAAACACATGTAATAAAGAAGAATATATTATGGGAACACATGGCACAGATGAAAATTCTTATGTGGGTCAGGAAAGATTTCCTAAGACCTGAAAGATGAGTAAGTATTAACGGTCCGGGCAGCATAGTAAAGAAGTAGACACTTCATGTCAAATGTAAAGCAAGAATAAGTAGGTAGGTCAGAAAGCAGGTAACTTTCAAAGAACTGTCCATCATTCAGTAGACAGAGACATGAGGAAGCTAAAGATGACTAAGAGTCCTATAGCTGTCTGGAGTCTATCAAAGAGCAAAAGGTAAGCCATAGAAAGACTTTAAGGAGAATAATAGGATCATAACTGTACTTCTTACCCCAGTATAAATGGTTCATTATAACTGGTTCCAAATGACTTCAGACTTCTTCCAAACATCAAACTTAATGTAGAATAAATATCTGCTACAATAGAGTACATTCAAAATAATACACCTGAGAATCTTCTAAAATAATCCCCCCCCCCAAAAAAGGTATATATCTTTCCAAGATAAATGTTTTGAAGAGGTAACATTCACTTGAATGTATAAGATCTACTCTGTCTGTAAAATTGGTCACAACACACCTCACACACAATGCTTTTTATTTGATACATTTTGTATATGAGAAGAGTATGTGACTATGGAAAGTAATGTTAAAGATTATCCCCATAGGGTGGCCAAATTAGGAACAGACTTTTAAAATATACAGGTAGTGCTGCTATAATGTTTTCAATTATCTACCTAAGACATTTCTACGTCTCATGCACTTCAGTAATATTAAATAAAAGTACCTTTGAGGGGATCTGTTCATGAAACATTTTGATGTTTATACAAACTTAGCAACTTTCACTAATGACTGTTAAAAACTAATGAAACATCTTGTTTCATAAAATCCTATTTAACTTTCAAATCTAGTTTTTTGCAAGAAAAATAACCTCTCAGTTCCTATGCAAACAGTTATTTGACTGATGGATTAGTCTTTAATGTTAATTTCAAGATCTGGCCTTTACTCCTGAAGCTTCTTAGAACCACTCTGCTCAGAATGAATGACATCCTCTCAAAGAATATATCGTAGTGCTATGGCTTGACTAAAATGCAGTGTATTCATGCTGAGGAAAATCATTTTGTATGTCATAAATATGTACAGTGATTTAATGTAAATTTAAAACATTTAAATTGTCAGATAGATAAGATAGAACAGTAACTGCAACTGATTGGTGGAATTCTCCTAGGTACACACTCATCCTAATAATAAAACAGAAACAACTTCCGCAGTATTATTAAGGGACTATCTTCACTAATGTGACTAAATTGAATTTTTGATGGGAGAAAAATTTTCATCTACTGTAATGATGCTTAGACTTTCCAACTTATATGAGTATGTAGAATGGAACCAGCACTGGAAAGTCTGATTCTGGTACTCTGATTAAACCCTTTTCTACTTAGCCCAACCTACCCTATTTAGATTCCACAGAAAATAGAAAAAGAGCAGGCAACAGTGACCTCTATCCTACATTTGACTTTACAAACCTGGCAAAAGAATACTCTACATCTGTGTTGTGTACACAGTGGCCCAGCTGAAAGGAGCTGAGAGGCTGTTTTCTCCTAGAGGCTGTGTGGGTCACACACAAGTCACTGAATGGTGGGCCTCAATAGCAGAATTTAAAAACATGGGAAATCAGGGCCAGCAACCGGTGTAGTGGTTAAGGCACTGGACTCTCACACAGTCAACTGCGGTTTGAGTATCAGAAACGTCGGCTTGAAATTCATGCCAGGTCAACGTGCGTGCACGCCCAAAATCCCAAGAGGAAAATGAAGGAAAAGGGATTACGACATGGCCATCCCCTTGGGGGAGGGGGGTGATTTCTTGCCTTCTGTTTCTTTGTCTCTCTCTGTCTTTCTGGTAAGCACATGCACCCTATAGCAAAAATCACTCTACAATAAAAAAGAAATCTACCTGAGAAATCAGTGTGGTAAACCATGTACCTTCCAATAAACATTAGTGAGTAAACAAACTATTTTCAGAAATCAGCAAATACAGATGCAGAGGCACCTGAAAGAGAAACTGAGTCCTCATGTCAATGAGACTGGATTATAACCAATGAAAATACAAACACATGTAATAAAGAAGAATGTGCTGCTAAAGAGGAAGCATTTTAGTCAGCTATAGAATCACCAAAAAAGGAGGGAATGAGTGCCTCTTATGTGTCAGATGCACTTCTAAGTGCTGGGGACCTACCCAGCAAACAAAACCAGCAAAATCCCTGCTCTCGTAGAGCTTACCATTGCCGAATTGGCAGTGCCCATTTCCAAAGAAGCAGGAATCCTAAGCAAAAGGTTGCAAATATTTCTACCCTCCAGTGAGGCGGTCCTTCTTAGAAGATGGACTACCCTGGCCTAATGACATTATATACATTACATCTTTAATTAATGAAATTCCTCTAGTTCGAGTTCCGTGCCCATCACCACCCTTGTTTGTTCGGCCCCTCACAAAGACTGTCTGCAAGACTATCCCACAGCCTGTATCTACCGGCTTCCTGATTTGTAGACATCAGAGCCTTTTGAGCTTCCATAATATTTCCTGAGGAGAAGACACAAGGGGACTCTAAAATTAGTTACCTGATTCTACAGTCCAGATCACAAGCCTAGGTAAATTCATTGTCAATTTATGCATCATCTTGGGAGACAAGACTGGCAGCTTGGTTCACTGGGCCCTACTACCATGGCATGGCCCTTTTCCTTTTCTAACCACAGAACTGAAAGAAGATCCTGGGCTACCCACAATAACCCTAAAACCTCAGTGATAGGAAAATATACTGCTACTTGTCTAAGAAACCTAGAGAAAAAGTTGGGATATCTGGTAACTAAAGAATAGCTCAGTTATTTATGATCTTTCCTTTCTTCAATGTGCCTTATTTTATATTTATTTGTGTTAGCTTCATGACTAGACGTTAAGCTGTTTAAAGTAGAAAATTTCATCTTAATTCTTTTTATCATTCCCCACTAGCCATTCATACAGTGACTTGTTCTTAATATTCAACTATTCAAAGTATTAGCAAATGAATGACTAGTCAGTCAATCATATATAAATGACATTTGTTTGCCTATAATCTGATCTACAGCATAAAGAAGACATAAACTTACTATTTTCTTGGACTCTGGCCACAAATCCCATTAAAGGTAACTGAGGAGTTACCTGTAGGATGGAGGGAGGAGGAGGAGCAAGAGATACTGTAAAAACAAAAAAGGTGTGGAGGATAAGGGGTAAGGGCGAGTTACATTAAAAGGAAAGGATAATACAATAAAACAAACATATAAAGGAGGGAAACCACTATTCACAAACATTTTATAAGCTAGCTTAAGAATATCCTTTTATGGGATATTCATTAACACATAAAACAAAGTATTAGGGGGTTTTTAGTTATGCTATTAAAAATTACACCAGGAACCATTTATTGTACACAGGTCTTCTCTAATATGTAATGGCAATTAATTTTTTTCATATTTATAACACCATGTCTTCTTGAAGCATTTCTGCAGATTACCATGAATAATTTGGTGTTCTAAACTTTATGTTGACAGTTACAAGCTTAAATGTTTGTCAATACAGGAGGAAAAAAATAAATTATATCCCAACATGCTAAATTTTTACTTTATATTTCTTCATTAACAAGAAAATTAATTGGTTTTTCATTCATTAAACAAATATTTACTGACTTCCTAGCATGTGGTAAGAACTCAGCTAGGAAACGGTTACCAAAACCATTCCCTGAGTGTCAGGTGCTGCATTATTACAATTTTCATAATCTGGACTCGTTGCTACATTTCTTTCTTGAACATACAGAAGAGAGCTGGCCTTATTTCAATCAGTCCACTCTTCTTACCAACATGTCTTCCTCTCTATCTCAAATAGCTGGCATAGTAACTAGCACTAGTAAGCCTTCAGCAAATGTTTAACATCTATAAATGCAGCCAGGTATGCAGAAAGTAACTTCCCAAGATTAACTTTACTGTTGTAGTTTCGAATAAGTATGCCTCTTCTTATAAAGAGATAATGTCCGTGTTAGTTCTAAATTACAGTGAAGACTAATAAAACTAAAAAGATGAATGTGGGGCCCAGCGGGTGGCGTGGTGGACTCCCACAGGGCTGAACGCAGTTTGAGTCCCAGACCTGACAGCTTTTTTTCTCACTTCTCTCAATCTCTCTTTCATTCTGTCCCCCTCTGGTCAAATAAAAATAAAAATAAATAAATAAAGTTAAAATAAAATAATTCTTTTAAAAAAAAAAGATGAATGTGTATCTGTTCCCAAGATCATCACATTCTATTTGAGAACAGAAGATAAAAATAAGAATCTTCACCCTACAATATCTGTAGCACTTTCCTGCAGGTGGTAGCAGTGGTGGTGAGAGTAAGGATACGTATACAGAAATTACCTCTCAGCAGGTACTAGGAAGAAAAGAAGTTCACCAAGCATACACAGGTTTAGAATGATGGGACCCAGTCAGAGGGATGGCTTAGAGGCATAAAACAGCATGATCACTTTACAGGACCAGAAAATATTTTCATGTGGCTAGCATGAAGTACCCCAAGAGAGTAACAAAATCCCAGAATGATGAGTGTGGGGCATGAATGAGGCAAAGCCCCTATATGCCAGGATTAAGAGTGGAAACATACTAGATTTTAAACTCACTCAGTCTCATACCCCTGATCCCCCATTTCGTTGTTATTTGGACATCGAGTCAATCAACTAGGGCCTCATCCATAAACGAAATATGAAAAAGAGGTAAAGCAACCTACTTCACATGACTGTGTGCAAAAAACAAAAACAAAAAAAAGTTGTGGAAAGCCTAACCCAGGGCTTAGCATATAATAAATCAAGGCAGTTCTAGAAATGAGAAGAAAACTTAGTAATTATGTGGGAAAAAAAGAGTACTTGATAACTAACAATTTAGCTAGCATATAAAGAAGAGCAAAAAAATGAAAGTGATTCTTGGAATTTTTGCTTTCCTAACTATGAAGGTGGCAGTGCCGTTAGCCACATTAACCTAAGCAGGGCGTACTGAAAAGGGACGGGCTAGTGGGTAGGTGGCTCAGGGAGACACCGATATAATAAATGAGATCTGTGAAAGTAACTTCAGCATAAATATGGGAGGCAACTAGAATTTGGGGGTTGAATTTGTGTGAAAAATCACAAAGTACAAGAGCTATCAGTTCACAGTAGAGAGAAGGCTGATGCTGTGACAGATGCGGGAGAACATGTGTGAAACATGGGAGAACATACCTAGATGCAGGGACAGAAGCAGGGAGAGCATATCTAGACAAGAGTTAAGCAGATAATCTTCATGCAGGGGACAGCAGTATAACTCTAGATATCAGTACCTTTCTTTAGGTTTTTCTCTAAAGTCGTCATTTTTGACAGTAAATCCTTGACTGATATGTTTGTCTCCCACTCAGAGGGCTGGAACAACTGCTATGGGCACAGCACCTTGTTCCCAATACTTAGGGTAAACAGACAACAATGAACAAGGCAGGTAGCAGAAACAAAACAGGAATAAACTGAGAAAGGGCAGCAGTTAGCAGATGACAGAAAAGCACAGACTACATGCACATTCTCATGAAAAAGATGACGCATTCTTCTCCCGTAAGTGCAATCCCTACTTGCCCAGGAACAGAACAGTAGGGAACTTGCTACTTCAGCCATGTTTCTCTACCAAATAAAGAACAACCTTTGATACCTGGCTGTAAAAAAGCATGTTTAGGTACTTGATTTCCAGCAGTGTGTAGATGTTTATTATCTAAGATATATCTATAACATTTATTAATCTTAAGATGAATATGCTTTATACTTTTTCTAGTTCTAAACATAAAAATCTGGAACTCATAGTCATTTTAAGCAGCCATCAATAGCAGCCAGGGAAAAATCTCAGATGTTCCTCAATCATAATTAATTATAATAAATTAGATTTATTTCAAAGGTAGTCTAGGGCATGTTCAAAAATACAATTCCATCTGGGATTTACAAAGATCACTCCAAATTCTAGTGAAGTTTTTTTTGCACAAGGCAAACCTTTAACATGGCATTTTCTTCTTGAACTACGTAAGATTTCATCTGACCAAATACTTGTAAACCAGAGTAAAACAGCCTATTTTAGATTAGATTTGCTTCCCTAGTGTTGAACGTGAAAAATTTTAGGAGAATCTAAACTGGAGCCTGATACAAAGAATGTGAATGTTTGCAGCATTCAGTTGAGTCCTAGGCATATCATAAATAGGCAAGAACAGGAAGCGACTTTTTAAACTTCTTTTCACTCCATGTAGCTAAGAAGATTCCTCATCTGACAAAATTCTTTCCAAATAACCACCAAATGACCTCCAAACTTCAATTCAGTAACTGTTATTTCCACAATAAACAGTAATGAAGTTAACGTGAAAAGATAGGCTCACCAAGTAACTGGAGTTTCTAGAGCGATCTTAAGCTGAATAGCTGTAAGAACTGTGTGTATGTGCACAGAGCTACGCTTAAATATAAGCAGTAAAAGGTTTTCCAAGCAAACCAAACTAAGGGGATGTCTGTGCTAATAGAATATGCAGATTTTCTAAGCATCACCATCCTGGTTACTTATAAAGTCCTTCAAAGCATAATCTGAGACTTGGTGTTTAAGATGTACAAAGAGTTTTTAAAAATAAAATTAGGCTTTTACATCTTATTTCCACACTTGACAGGAACTCTGAGACAATTAGACAAAATAAATACTGTGAATACTACTTTTAAAACCATTACAGGGGGCCAACAGGTGGCATGGTGATTAAGGGCACTGAACTCCCATGTGGCAGACCATTGGTTCAAGTACCAGACCGGGTGGCTTGCTTTCTCACTTTTTCTCTCTTTCTCTCGCTCCCTCTCCCTTTCTCTCTCTCTTTCTGGTCAAATTAAGATAAATAAAGTTAAATAAAAGAATTCTTTTCTCTTGTTTCTTTTATTGGAGAAGTTGTTTTTGCGATAGGGCACATGTGCTCACCAGAAAGAGAGAGAGAGAGACAGAGAGACAGAAAGCAAGAAATCACCCACCACCCATGGGGGATGGCCATACCACAATCCCTTCTCCTCCATTCTCCTCTCAGGATCTTGGGCATGCATGTACACATACACGCCTGGCATGAGTTTAAGCTACGGGGTCTGGGACTTAAACCACAGTCGACCACATGGGAGTCCAGCAACATAGTCATTATGCCAACTGCTGGTCCCAAATAAAATAATTCTTAAAAAAAAAAAGAACATTATAGAACATCACCTTTATAGGTAATATATATTTAAGATAGCCCATTCAAGTTTATTTCCTTCTATTTTACATTCCAGTGAGAAAAATAATTACAGTTTAAGAGTGAGTATCTCCTAAGCCCAGTTGTGGTAGTATGGGCTGGACACTGCTCCTCGGCAAGCTGAAATGACGTGAGACCCAGGTCCCAGGTTGGATTCCTGGTACACCCTAAAAACACCGAATGGCTTGTGCCCACAGTCCCAGCTACTCAGGAGGCTGAGGCAGGATTGCCACACATTAAGAACCAGTGGAGGAATTACCAGATGGCGTAATGGTTACGTCTGCTGGACTCCCAAGTAGTGGACAGTGGTTCTAGTCCTGGACCCAGCAGCTTAAAACTCATATTGGGTGCTTGTGTGTGCGAGGCTAAAATCCCAAGAGCAGAAGGGATCACGGTGTGGTCATTCCCCTTGAGGGGTGATTTTTTGCTTTCTGTCTCTGTCTCTCCAGTGAGTGCACGTGCCCTATAGCAAAAATCTCTCTTAAATGGGGGGTAGGAGGGACAAGAACCTGTCAAAACACCATACACATATATACAAAAAAAAAAGTAGTTTTTAGAGTAAGTATATTCAAAGGAGAACTTATTAACCAATCAATAAGAAGAGCTTTTCTGATGGAAAAAATAACATGATTACCAAACAACTATCAATCCTGTAGTCTCAGATGATTAAAGGAATTGGATCATTTTTTATTATTCCTTTTCAAATAATAAAGTTACCATATGTCATTATGCCAAGAAAAAGTAGCAGATTAAAATGTACAGCTTAGGGACTGGCAGATGGTGTGGTAGTTAAGGTGCTGGACCACCCACGGTTCGAGTCCTGGACCTGGTAGCTTGCTTTCTCAATCTCCCTTTCTCTCAGTCTATTATATCTCCGGTCAAAATTGAATAATGATGATAAATAAAATTTAAAATAAATAAATCTTTTTTAAAAATATATGTACAGTTTAAAAACACAACTTGTGTGTTTTCTTTAAATATATCAATAGAACTGACAGAAGAAACTCTTTTTAAGAATTAATTTTTTAATTTAACGTCATTTATTATTATTTTCCAGTTTGATCAGAGACACAGAGAAAGTAAGAAAGCAAGCCACCCAGTTCAGGACTCAAACCATGGTCAGTCATGTGGGAGTCCAGAGTCTTTAACCACCATGCCACGTGCTAGCCCCATAAAAACACAATTTGTGTTTAACAGTCAGTATAAAGGGTCTATTTGCTTTGATTATCTGAGACTATATTTACATTTTTCAGCTCTTCTACTGCTTTTTTTCTCTACAGAGTAAATATTACCTAACAAACTCTAAGACTGCCTAAAATAAGTATTCAAAAATAGTATCTTGCTACTGATAGTTACTCTGCTAAAGCCCACTGTATCTGTATTCTTCTACAGACCGATAGCAATGCTGCAAACTAGTAGTCACAGAGAGTGTGTGATGAGGCTTTGCTTCTGCAGTATTACCATCTCAGTGCTGTTTTTCACCACCTTTCTTAAAGAATTATTCACTTAATTTTTATCATTATTTTTTCAATTTGCTACAGGTCACAAACACTCGACAGAGAGGGAGGGAAAGTGGGAAACAGGTAGCCAGGTCCAGGACTCAAACCCTGATTGGCCATGTGGGAGTCCAGCACCCCAACCACCACGCCATTTGCGGGCTTCTGCTTTTTTTTTTTATTATTATTATTGAAGTAGGTTTTGAGGTTTTGGGTTTTGGGATTTTTGTTTGTTTTGTTTTTTGCTATAGGGTATGCCTACCCACCAGAGAGACAGAGACAGGCAAAGTGAGAAAGCACCCCCCAGGAGGATAGCCCTACCATCCTTTCTACTCCATTCTTCTCTCAGGATTTTAGCACGCACACGCACGCACACACACACACACACACACACACACACACATACACCAAGTGTGTTTCTTGTCAAGACACTAGGTCCAGGACTTGAACTGCAAAGCCATGTGAGGTCTAGCTGCATCAAGAATCACATTTTTCTAAGAGTATACCCATTCAGAATTACTTCTATCTCATATAATTGTATAGTCACATTTCTCACCAATTTTATGATTAGATTTCTTTAAAAAGCCTTCTTTTGTAAGAAACTGAGTAGTAAAATATAGGCTATTTTCTCTTGACACCCTTAGGATGCTACATTACTAATTCCTTACCAAATTAGGATCATACATGTGTATGTAAATATATGTACAAATGCATACATCTAGATAAAAGTATATTCTTCTTTATCACCAAGTTGCTTCAAATTTTTACTTAAAGATTGTTAACTCATGATCAGCCCTGCATGTTTCTAAGATCTTCCTCACTGCTAGCAAGATGAATGATAAACTGATATTCCTAATTTTTTTGGATGGATTATATTAAGAAGTAATGAGAAACAAAGGTGTTTCCGCTATGACCTGATCAAAGTGTTACTTCAATACTTGTTTCAGAAATAATTTCATTAGAAAACAACTACTGTACTTCTAGAACTTAGTACTTATACTGTATATTCCATTATTTTAATTCCTCTATTGTAATGACCCTTCTTAAAGAATTACTTATTTAATTCCATTTGTTATTATTGCTTTTTAATTTGACCAGAGAGAGACAGAGAGAGAGCAAAAGGGAAAGGGAGAAAGCAAGCCCCCAGGTCTGGGACTTGAACTGCAGCTGGCCATGTGGGAATCCAGTGCCTTTAACCACCATGCCACCTGCTGGTCCCTATAATGACCCTTTTTTTGAGGGGGGGCAGGGAGAGGTTCTTTTGCTATAGGGTGCATGCACTTGCCAGACAGACAGAGAGAGACAGAGAGACAGAAAGCAAGAAATCACCCCCCGGGGTGAGTGGGGGGGATGGCCATGCTGCAATCCCTTCTCCTTTCAGGACCTTGGGCATGCACATACAAGCGCCCGGCTGAGTTTTAAGCCTCCAGATCTGGGACTTGAACCGCGGTCAACTACATGGGAGTCCAGCGACACAGCCATTACTCTAATGGCTGGTCCCTATAATGACCCTTTTTGAACTCAAACCAAAGTATATATTAACAAACACATTAACTGTATTGCTACATTTATACCTCACCCCATTATATTTATATTCACATGAATCCCAGCTTGGCAGCTCATTTCTTCAGGAGCATGCATCTATAAGTCTCCAGTTGCAAAAAAAAAAAAAAAAAAAAAAAGGCTCAAAGAACACACATCTGGCATCATGTTGTTAAATCAGGAGTTAGCAAGACCAGCAGATGGCATAATGGTTATGTCACTGAACTCCCATGTAGTCAACTGCAGTTCAAGTCCTAGACCAGCAGCTTAAAACTCACAACAGGCACACATGTTTGTGTGCCTAAAATCCTGGGAGGAGAATGGAGAAGAGACTGTGGCATAGTCATCCTCCCTGAGGGGTGATTTCTTTCTGTCTGTCTCTCTAGAGAGTGCACAGGCCCTATAACAAAAATCTCGCTAAAAAAAAAAAAAAAAAAAATAGGGAATTAGCTACTTGAGAAAATACAAGAAATTTCCCCATATTTAAAAAAACAAAAAACAAAAAACAAAAAACAAGAATGGGGCTGGCAAGTGGCGTGGTGGTTAAGGCGCTGGCTCAATCATGGAAATTGTATTGCTTTTTTTAAAAAACTGAAAGACACAATATACCAACCTAGTAATCACTCATTGTTATAGACATTCAACAGTACTAACCACTCATTATATGCTAGATATTTGTCATCAAAGGGTTTTTTTTGTTTGTTTGTTTGTTTTTAGTTAATTGAAGGTATTTAATTAGATATATTCTGTAGAATGCAAAAGAAAATCTAACCTGGATTCTGGCTATAAAAAGGTCCTCCATTCATCTGATTCTGAAGGCTTGTTTGTGAAGTTATGGAAGGAGGGCGTCTATAGGGCAAGGAGCCCCCTATTGTTGGGGGAGTATGGCGAGAGGCAGGCCTATTCATGCTGTAGAACTGAACAGGATGACCTGGAAAAGGAACAGAACACCAAACTGCTGTTAAAAGAAAATTATCTCAGATAATTAAATACTTTATATATAATGCCTAAATCTTAATAAGATTATTAAAAGTAACAATGTTTAGCTCATTGAACTGCTATCTAAAAATCCTAATGCAAGATGACAGTTATTGCTCAGCTGACATGATATATCAAAATACAAAAGCAGGAAAGCAAATAAAAACATGATTAAATTTTTAAGAGCATTATCTAAATAGATGATTATCATTATGATTTTAATAAATTAATCTTTTGAGAGGGCTTCAAAATCACCATAATTAAATTCATGCCTCCTTCCCCCCAGTGCTGCTAATAAGCACTGAAAACTAAATTCAACAAGGTAGAATGACACCCGGGGCCCAGTCACAGTGGCCTGTCCTGCTAATGCTACAACTGAACAGATCAAGGCCACATGAGAGTTCCAAATCGCTGGCATGTGTCTTTCGTCTCAGCTACAGGCACTTAGAAAGATCTAGAACAGCAGGCTCCTGTCTTAAAAAAATAAAGAACACACACATAGAAAAGAGAAAAAATACATTTATGAAAGCAAAAGAAAAATGTTTGACCCAATTTTATTTCAGAAGAGTAATGATAAAAATAAACCTAAGATAGAAAAGAAATTTGTTTCCAGGAAAATAAAGTATTTCACTAAAAAGATCAAATAATATAGTTCTAAATAAAAAATAATCTTTATTCAAAAGTACCCATCTTTAAAGCTTCATTATTTTATCTTCAAACTAGAGTTAGGAAACTTGTAATTATGAAGAAAACCGTGAATAAAAATATATCTAATTTTTAATATCACCCCAGAATCTGTATTTGTCATCCATTTCACTGCATTCTGCTCTCTCAAGAGTTCTTCAACAGCTAAAGCTGAATGGAGATACTACTCTTCCCTAGTGCACCACGTTCCAACACAATCCAGTTTCTACATTTTACCTTGACTTCACCCCACTTATACCCATTCTGCTGAGGGCCCTGTACTATCAATAATAGCACAGAGACATACAAGAGAATTACTCCAGCAGGCAAGAGAGAGCAGAGAGCAGGGGAGGAAGCAGCAAGAATCACAAAAGAGGAAGAGAAGAGTGATAGTGGGGCAAAAAAGGGAAGAAGATGAGAGAACAGAAGAAACAGGGGAAAAGAAGGCAAAGAGGAAGGAGGCAGAAAAAGAAAAACACCAAGAGTAAGAGAGGAAGAAAGAGGACAAGTGAAGAGAAAATGAAAACACTTCTGCCAATCTTTCACCTTATCTATAATTATAAAATGGTCTTACATAACTAAAATTGCTCTTTAGAAACACCATATATAGGGACCAGCAGATGGCATAATGGTTACACATTGCTGAACCCCCACATGGCCAACCACGGTTAGGGACCCAGACCCAGTAGCTTAAAACTCACGCTGGGAGAGTGTACGCACACGCCCAAAATTCCAAGAGAAGGGACTGCAGTGTGGCCATCCCCCCTGGGGGGTGATTTCTCACTTTCTGTCTCCCTGTCTGTCTTTTCTGGCGAGTGCACCCACCCTATAGCAAAAACCTCTCTCAAAAAAAAAAAAAAAGAAAAGAAAAGAAAGACCATATATCCATATATTTATCAACTTGGTCCCATATGGAGTCATATAAAGAAAATCATGAAAATACTCAAGAGTTGCTATAATATATAATCTTCTTACACATGTATTAAAACCTAAAATTCAATTCTATTGGATAAAATTTTTGAGCACTGAATCTTAAACATAATCTACTGTTAATGGAGAGACCCCTGCAATCAGGATAACAATGTAAACACACAGGACAATAAGCAATTATTTAAAAGACTAAAGCACATTCAGTCATTTGAACTACTAGATACAAATATAATAATGGATTTTTGGTAATTAATCTATTAAAAAATAGATTCTATTAAAAAATAATACAAACCTAAGATCATCAATTGAAAATAGTTGATAATTAACACCATTATGAACTTTACAAAGTTGGTCCAAAATCTCACATTGTATGTCTGCAGTGATTCAAAGGTACTATCTAATATAGACGCTACTCTAACATTTGGGGGGGAGGAGAGATTTTTGCTCACCAGAGAGACATAGAGACAAAAAGCAAAAATCATTCATCCCCCAGGGAGGATGGCCATGCCTCAATTCCTTCTCCTCCATCCTCTTCTCGGGATGATCTTGGGCATACACACACACGCCTGGCATTAGTTTCAAGTTGCCAAGTCCAGGACTTGAACCATTGCTGACCATGTGGGAGTTCAGGAACATAACCACTACAACATCTGCTTGGTCTATAGTAACTTTTAATGAAGGATTTATCTTGTTTTGGGTAAAAAAAAAAAAAAAAAAAAAAAAAAACCTGCAGCAAATGATCACAGCCCTAACTATAAAACCTAAAACTAAATATTTCTAGAAGAAAACAAAGGACAAAATTTTTATAACTTACTCTTTGATATGACACCAAAAGCACAAAATAAAAAAAAATACTGAGTCATCAGGAAAGTCATGAGGCATTTTTGCATAGAAACATAGAAAAAAATACATGACTTTTCCAACAACCCAATATTTATAAATTAGATTAAATCAAAATGAAGAACTTCTGCTATTTAAAAGGTATCAGTCAATTTCAAGACGTATTTTATACTCTATTTACAGGAGCATAACAAGATTCCCACATTTAACTAGCTATTCTGGCCCAACAAAGATCTCTGCAGATCAAAGAACATGTTCATTTATCTACTGCAGAAAGCTTTTCTTTTAAAGTACTATTAGAGGGACCAGCAGTTAGCATAATGGCTATGTCACTGGACTCCCACGTAGTCAACCACAGTTTGCATCCCGGACCCGGTGGTTTAAACTCACGCTGTGCGCGTGTGCGTGCGTGCCCAAGATCCTGAAAGGAGAAAGGATTGCAGCACCATGGCCATTCCCCCTGGGAGGTGATTTCTTGCTTTCTGTTTCTTTCTCTCTCTGTCTTCCTGGCAAGTGCATGCGCCCTATAGCAAAAACCTCTCCAAAAAAAAAAAAGTACTATTAGAGAAGCTAAGCCATAAAACACCAGTCAAAAACCATTTTAACTTTAAGAGTCCTTTAACATATAAACATCTGTGGGGTGAGCAGGTGGTATGGTGGTTAAGGTGCTAGTCTCCCACATGGCTGATTGTGGTTTGAGTCCCAAACCTGGTGGCTTGCCTTCTCTCCCTATCTCTTTTACGTGTGTGTGTGTGTGTGTGTGTGTGTATCTATCTCTGATCAAACTAAAAAAATAATAAATAAAATTAAATAAAAATAATTTTTAAAAATATTAACATCTGGTTACTGCAATAAAGAAAAACAATATTCTGTGAACTCTTTACTTGTAAGCTAAATGCTAAGGTGGTATGTCTCCAAACACATACACTTTTAGAACAGAGAAGAACCTGCATGACAATAACCAGCATGGGGACCAGCAGGTGGCGTGGTGGTTAAGGAGCTGGACACTCCCACATGACCAACCAGGATTTGAGTCCTGGACCTGGTGGCTTGCTTTCTCACTTCCTCTCTCTCTCACTCTCACCCTCTGTCTCTCTCTGATCAAATTTTAAAAATCAATGAATGAATAAATAAATAATAAAATAAGTAATTACTTTAAAAAAAAATAATAACCAGCATCAATACTAACTGCACAAATATTGGGTCATTGAAAAAGTCACGACACGGGACCAGCAGTTAGCGTAATGACTATGTTGCTGAACTCCCATGGAGTCGACCACGGTTCGATTCCTGGACCCAGTGGCTTAAACTCACGCCAGGCATGTGTGCGTGTATGCCCAAAATCCCAAGAGGAGAATGGAGAAGGGATTGTGGCATAGCCCTCCTCCCTGGGGGGTGGTTTCTCGCTTTCTGTCTCCCTGTCTCTCTGTTTTTCTGGCAAGCGCATACGCACTATAGCAAAAACCCCTCCAGAAAAAATCATGACGCATTTTTTCATGTTTTTCTATCCAAAAGTGTATCATAACTTTTCTGACATATATTTGCTAGCAAGTGAGTTTTATCTCTTCTCTCATCAAAACAGATTTTTTAAGGTTTCAGTTTTAAAATACTAAAACACAAGTCAACTTAAATAAACCTGAAATTCTTTAAAAGAATATTGTCTGAGATTCCAATACTGCTATAAGAAATAACAGATTCTGTCATAACAGAATTACAAAGGCTTTCAATCTGTAACAATATCTCCTCCAAAATATACCTTAGAATTGTCATAGGCCTTTCTTTTTATTGCCTTAACTTGTTAACAAACAGTATTTCTCATAACAATGCCTCAAAACCATATAGAAGGTAGCTCCTTACTAAATTCACCCATCTTTAATAAATAAAATTCAAGCAATTAAAAAATGTATATCTGTGCAACCCTACTGGAAAAAGTGTATTAGAAACTTTATCCTGATTTTCTCAGGCAATTCTAGTCTTTGGTCAAATGCCACTTTCTAGTTAATATATTATTCCTCATATTTTTATTAATATAAAACTCAACCACACGAGACAGATAAATCCTGAACCTGGAGTTCCAGGAAAGAGAGTAACCACCAGACGACTGGATCTCCCTGCCAATAAATAAGCCCATACTCACCTGTAGGGGGAGTGGAAGAAACAACAGGGGGAGTTGGAGAGGTGAAGCCATCAGCAAGGGTCTGGGCACCCCCAGCAGCAGCATCTGGGGCAGTAGAGGATGGGACAGTAGCAGGAACAAGAGGGGCAGGGGCAGATGCAGAAGTAGCAGGAAGGGGAGGGGTGCCAGCAGAGCCAGCAGGGGCTGAAGGGAACGAGGAGTCAGAGGCAGCCTTC